TGTGCAGGCCAAGATTTGTCAGAATTCCGAGCCCCTAAGGGATTTCCGCAAGGAGATCGCATAAATGTCAACAATAACCTCGGGGCGGTCGGGACCAACCTCAAGTCCGTCATTACATCCACACCTGCACTCTCACACACACACATAGACACTGTCACAAATACACACGAAGAGAGACGCACACACATCTGCGTACTCAAACACCAAACACACACACGTACAATTGGATATAAATTATTTCCCCACACAATCACGTACTGTCATAATTAGACAAAGATCCCCTCATATAGCCTTTTAACAGATTGTTAGCGAGCACCCATTAAGGCCGACATTGCACACGATAGATACATTAAGATAAATATGAACACACAAAAACACACATGCACATAAACTTAAAGATATTTCCAGGCAAAGTAGTATACTCAAACAATTACATTCGTGAACTTTCACGCACTTGCACAAATAAATGCATGCAAAATGGCAATCATATTACTGAAAAAAACATGAAATAACACGTGCACAATGTATAACTTACCTCAGCCACAGCCTAGGACCAGCTGAACGCACGGAGCATTGAGTCACGGTGGCCATGTTTCACGTGGACTTGATGCAGCAACAACAGCCATGTTGCATCAGGATTGCATTTGCGGCAGCTGATTGGCTGGTGTATCGGAAGTGATGACGTAATATCTAGCAACCACTGACGCGTGTGTCCATCTACGTGATCTCGCTAGCGCAGATGCTCCGGGTTTGCACTACACACTTTTGGAGCGTACGCAAATAGCTGCCTGGTAGGATTGACGCAGTTTGTCTGTATTCAGGCCCCTGATTGTTAAGGTTCATATCGTTGACCACTATACCACCATTGACCCAGCAGTCTATCTATACTGTGCTGTAGTTGTATACTGTACCATCAATATATCATTTGCCTACACACATACAAAGCTCTGAACAAATACACACTCCTGAGTATACGTACACTGAATGGTTTGACACCATTCATATATCGTCGGCATAAAGTTTGTGTTTCAATGTGTATTGTGTGTGTTTTTATAAATGGTTAATTCATAATACCTATGGGAAAAGATATTACGTACAAATTAAGATCGAGATGGTATCATGAGAGATGGCGGCGGCTTGAGGAAACCTTAATCCAGCAGTGGATTGAACATGGCTGACGATTAATAGGTGTTAATACAACAATTCCAAATGTGTCTGCGTTTGTGTACATTTAGAACTCCTCTCATCCACAGTCATGTGGGGGAACCCATATTGCAGATCCTGTGATCTGCGGGGTTGTCCTCGATGCTACTCATCCTGTCTACGGAGTAAAAAACGTGGATATTAGAATGAATTTGCTTTACGGCTGCATATCCGCAAAAATATGGTGGCTCATCATGGGGCACCGCGGTGGTGAGATGTTAACTATCAACCTCGTCTGGTATACACACGTTTAGAGTATTTGGCTGCTATACATTTCCACATGATAAGCCACTTGGTTGAGCTATCATCTGTGGCCAGGTCGCTTCTGAAAAAGAGCTAAAATAGGTCGGTGGGCCTTACCTGGTAAAATAAAAAAATAAAAGTTTAGTTGCGTTTTAGTAGCTGTGGGGAGGGGTCGTTCTCTGCTTCAAGGCTGTGCCTATGGGGCATCTCAGTCATGTCTCTGTGCTTCTGTCTCTGTCTTTGGACTCTCCCTTTCCCTGTGGCTCTCTCCACGTGTGTCTGACTACCTGTATCTCTGTGTATCTGTCTCGTCTCCCTCAGTGACTCTGTTTTTGTGTCTCCGTCTGTATGTGCGTGGAACGGTGTCTTTCTCTGTCTCCCTCTCCATGTGTATTCTTCTCGGTGTGTTTCTCCATATATCTATGTTTGTGTCTCTCTGTGTCTCTGTGTGCGTCTCCACGTCTGTGTGTGCCTCTCTGTGTCTCTTTGCGTGCCTCGTGTCTGTGTCTCCTTATCTTTCTGTCTTCGCATCTCTGTGTGTGCATGTCTCATTGATTTTGTCTGTGTCTCTGTGTGTGTATTTTGCGTGTCTGTGTGTTGTCTCGTGCAGTGTAGTGCCGCCCATCCATTTTCCGCGCTTTTGCTTTGATCAAAACTTTTAAAAAAATTAATCCCAAATAACCTATTTATGTTTTCAAGTACTTTTTTTTTAAATCCTTTATATTAAGTTCGCTTGCTTGCTTAGGACCGTGGAAATCTTTCGGTCGTTTTTTAACCCACTTCCCATGATCCAATCGAGCTGACATTTTGCACACAGACTCGTTGTGCGTGACAATGCATTTTCGTGAAAAAAAATGTCCTAAATTTTACACTGTTTAGGGAAATTTTTTAAATATTTAATTACCAATTGTTTAATGCTGCCAGACAATCATCTGACCCATAGGTGGCAGCCATCTCAAGCCAGAGGACGAGAGGACTCTAGCCGCCCCGATGCCACGCATATAAAGGATTTATAGTGAAAAACTTTGTTTTTACGGGTTTACTTGTTACCAGGTAAGGCCCATTATGCTGTAGATGATGATTGGTTCAAATTGTCCTACGACTCCTCTTATCCGCAATAAAATTACGGATATTAGGATTCCATTCCACACTCTTTGGAAATACCGCACGGACAATCGCTAATGAATAGGGCTGCGGATAATACAGTAAGAGTTTTCATGGACCCTTATGGCTGTCATGGATAATCAGAGGCGTGGATAACAGGGCCGAGGATGAGAGAATTTCTGTAATGATGCATCTCGTTATGTGAATGTTTGCATCTTTTCATCGACCTCTATGCCAGCCTGCGCGCAGGCGTGAAACCCGTGTGTCGTACTGCCAAGAGTCGGTGGTGCCCATTATCGGTGCCCACACTTACGGTTCTGTGAGACTAAACGGTGTGGAGGAGGGGGGGGGAGTAGATCTCTCTCCTCTTGACTCAAATCCTAAGACATTTACATTTTTTTTGTGTGCTTGTCAACGGACGTTACCCTGGCCCCGTTTGTGATCACCCACCCACCACGCACCCGGCACGCAGTGCCTTATATAAACGCGCGCAGGTCTTCCGTGCGTTTGGCGTGCGAATCGCACACGATGACGAGTCTTGTGTGGGAGCCAAGAGTGGCTGGCAGGTGGGGTGGGTATGCGTGCGGGCGGGTGGGTGCCGTGTCAGAGGTGCACGGCTAACCAGGTAGCTGCTGCACCGCTCGGGTCAGGCTCTACGCAGTCTCCAGGAAGCCACATTTCCCCGGGAGGTTGTGTCCTCCACGTTCTAGCCACCACCCTCCACTCTTGCCCAAATAATATCTGCTTACGTGAAAACATCTGTTAAGGCTTTTCAATGAAGGAAGTGAAGGTCAACGTGCTTGAGTTGAAACCGCTGGTGTCTGCTGCAAGTGCCGTATTTAAGCCGGTCCAAAGAAAACAGCCTCTTCTTGTGATGCGTCCCACCACGTCGCTTCGACCGTAGCTTTGAATTATTTTAATGTCATGGCACGAGTGTCAAGAGCGGACTAAGTGCGAGAAACAAATAAAGAGAGAGCAGATCGTGAATGTCCTCTTGGCTAAATGCACGAGGGTTAGTGCTAGCAGACAATGCCTGCGCCACGCTCGGTGAATGAAGCGCAAAGAAGCCCTCTTAATCGCTTCGTTCACACACAAGCCTCGGGTTAATGATTTTTACTACTTCTCCCATCGGTGCCTATCCCTCCAGCAAAACAAGCTGTGAGTTTATTTCAAGCCAATTTCCTATATTGATTACCGCTCCTCGCACTCACTCATGAATGCTTTGTCCTCGCTCATCCTTTTCCCATGTAAGTGTTGCTCCTTTTTTGTGTATTTCTTAATGCAGATAAAAAAAATAAAAACTATGTGGCTTTTATTGTAATATTATTAATAAATTAATAATAATTTGTCCAATTTTCTTGGGTCTTTCGGTAAAGTCACGTCGATAGGTTCAACAGTTTGCCTTTAGAGCCTAACCCCCTTTCCTGATGACGACCGCTTGTTTTGCGATCGAACGTCGTAGTATTTTGTTATGAAAGCTTTAAGTCAAGATTAAATTTGTTCATTGCTTTCCTTGCGATGCGGTTGATTCGTGATTATTTATATATTTGTTTTAAGTGGTAGTGGAGGGGTGGATTTTTCTCTCTCTCTCACCCCCCCTGTTACTGTCGGCATGCCTGTCAAGGTGTCCGCTAATGGGAACGTGGCCAGAACGTCAAGCGATTAATTATTGATCACAAGAAATGTTTCGTACGGCGGTACTTAACGCCGGAATAGTGAAGATGAAAGGGTGGTCAGCCCCTTGACTTCATTTCAGCAAAGATCGACAGTCCCCCCACCCAACCCCTTCTGAGCCGGTATTGGCAGATGATTTGCGTCCGATTGATTTTCGGCTTCTGGGCCATCGATTAGCTTGCGCGGGCCTCGTTTGGCGGGATTTGTGGAGTCGCGGATGGCCAATTGCTTGAGCATTGCTCCGGTCTACGTTGAGTTATTTAATGTGCTGGCAGCTTTGTGTCGCCCGTTCACGCCCGCTCACGTCTCTGCATGTGTTTATATCTCTTAATGTGCTCAAAGCCACAGATGTTTCTGCGCGTGTTATTTTATGGAACGATTATCACGGCACGTCATAACATTACTTATTTGTTTAGATAAATTAAATTGTATAAAATATGCCCATTTGAGTGGTTGCGTAGTGGTCTTTGCACTGCACTCTGTTCTGGTGGACCGGATTCAATTCATGGCCTCGTGCATCGGTGGCAATTGATACCCGATCCTTGCCTCCCATAGGATGACACCACCTGTAATGAATACCTGGCGTGGTACGTGAACATTGTGGGGATACAAAACGCGATCAGGGATCGGTGCCCGGCAGGAGCACTCGCCACGGACGTCTGTACGGAGGAACGAAACCTTTGCACCGTGCGCGCGCTGTACGATCGCTCGCTGCATTTGCCCATGCGTGCACATGTGTGTAATCGCCGCTGCTGCTCTCTGTGTTTCCTTGGCAGGCTTGCATCGGATGGAATGAAATGAGATCGACGTGCAAGCGCCGCCATGGAGAGCTGTGAATTCTCAGCCGCACCGGGGGGACACGACGGGGCCCGCCGCGGCGGCGGTGGCGCCGGGAGTCCGTCGGAGGGAGAAGGGGGGGCGGGGGCACTGGCGGCCGACCTGGGCCCGGCCGAGGGCCGCTCGCCGGCGCCGCCCGAGCCGAAGGGCGCCGTGCGCGGCCGCACGGAGCGCCGGCGGGCCGCTCCGCTCGACTCCGACGAGAAAGAGAGCAACGGGGAGGGGAGGGCAGACGGAGAAGAGGAGGGGGACGAGGAGGAGCTGGACAAGGAGTTTGAGGAGGAGGAGGAGGCCGACGAGAGCGACGTAGAGAACCTGTCCGGAGAGATCGTCTACCAGCCGGACGGATCCGCCTACGTCATCGACGGCGGATCGGGCCCCGGCGGGGGCTCCCCGCGCTCCCTCGACGGCGTCCTCCCGTCGGCGCAGGCCCTCCTGCTGAGCGCGCTTGGCCAGCGGCCAGACGGTGCGCCCCCCGCGGCCGCCTTCCCGCGCATCATCAGCACCTGCCACATCGCGGCGGCCTCCTCGCTCGGCAAACGCCTCTGCCGGGACGCGGAGCCCGCCACCTTCCCAAATACCTCAGCGCTCGCGCGCAGCCCGGTCCTTCACAGCTTTCGTGTGTACGACGTGCGACGGGGCGTCCCCGGCGGCGATAGCTGCGCCAAAACCTCTCTCGTGGCCAAAGACAATTCGGACCCGGCCCAAAGGCGGCCGCCTGCTTTCGAGAGGCCGGCGCGGCACGGCGACGGGAAGCAGAAGCCCATCTTGATGTGCTTCCTCTGCAAGCTTTCGTTCGGCGCGGCGAGGTCCTTCGCGGCGCACGCCGTGCAGGAGCACGCCGTCGCGCTCGTGGCCGAGGAGCGCCGGCTTCTCAAGCGCCCGGGGACGTCCGCCATAGTCCAGGGCGTCGGCAACGACAAGGAGCCGCTAGTCAGCTTCCTGGAGCCCGAGGCGACGGAACTGCCGGCGCCGCAGGCCATGGCGAAGGCGGCGGTCGGCCTCGTGAGCCCGGGGCTGTGCGGTTTCATCAGCAGGTCGCCCAACGCGGGGGCTTCCCCTGCGGCCGCTGAAAAGCCGGCGCAGCCGCTGAGCGTCAGTTCTGGCGCGTTCCTGGCACCCAAATCCCCTTTTACCTCAACTGCTCCCCTTGGGCGACTGCCCTCCAACCTCTGTGTGGAAGACCTCGGGAGAGGAAGGTCTCCCGAGAAGAGCACGGATGCGGGATTAAGTCAAAAGGGCTCCTCCCACGAGGAGCATGAAAATAACAATCCTGAGGAGGAAAATGACGATGACCTCAATGATGATGAGATGTACGATGATGATGATGATGACATAGACGATGTGGATGAAGTACCTCGAGTTTCACTAGTTGACAACCCTCACAGCAGCAGTGAGCTTTTAACCCTCTCAAACCAAAGCATTTTTAAACCTTCTTTTCTGACGCCTAGCGTGCTAAACTCTACTACTCCAAAGGCTAACTCATCTACCTTCATAGCTTTCATGGACGGCAGTGCTGGCGCGAGCGCGAGCGGCGCCGGCCTCGGCATTGCCGGCAACACAAACAGCAGCAGCAGCGACGACGCGGATCCGCAGAAACTGCCCAAAGACGGTCTCACAGACGAGGAGAGGACGGGCGAGGCGAGGGCCTCGGAGGAGGGCGGCGTGCCGGCCGCGCTGCACAGCCCGCCACCGCCGCTGGCCATGCCAACGCTGGCGCTGCCATTCGGCGAGTGCCACGGGCAGCACCCGGGCGGTTCGGTGGAGTGCCCCAAGTGCGACATGGTGCTGGGCTCGTCACGCTCGCTCGGCGGGCACATGACCATGATGCACTCGCGCAACTCCTGCAAGACGCTCAAGTGCCCCAAGTGCAACTGGCACTACAAGTACCAGCAGACGCTGGACGCCCACATGAAGGAGAAGCACCCAGAGCCGGGCGACGCCTGCAACTTCTGCAAGTCGGGCCAGCCGCACCCGCGGCTGGCGCGCGGCGAGAGCTACACGTGCGGCTACAAGCCCTTCCGCTGCGACGTCTGCAACTACTCCACCACCACCAAGGGCAACCTGAGCATCCACATGCAGTCCGACAAGCACCTCAACAACATGCAGAGTCTGCAGAACGGCGGCGCGGTGCCCGCGCGGTCGCCCGGCGCAATGGGGGGCGACCAGCCGCCGCAATCGTGCGCGGCGTACGCGGGCACGCCGTCGTCGCCCGTGCAGTCCCTCGCCGGCGGCGGGGCCACGGCGACCTCCTGCGCGGCCGCGGCGGCGGCGTCGTCCTCTATGTCCACGGCCGCCGCCGGCGCCACCTCCGCCGCGTCGACGTCCGGTTCGGCGGCGTCCGTGCCGTCCCCGTCGCCGTCGCCGACCAGGGCCAAGCCCAAGCCGACATGGCGCTGCGAGGTGTGCGACTACGAGACCAACGTGGCGCGCAACCTCCGCATTCACATGACGAGCGAGAAGCACATGCACAACGTGGTGTTGCTGCAGCAGAGCATGAAGCAGATGCAGCAGCACCAGCAGCAGCAGCAGCACGGCCTGGCCGGCCTGGCCCAGGGCTCTGCGGCGGGAGGCATGTCGGGCCCGGCGGGCCTCGGCCCCACCGAGGCGGAGCTCTACCAGTACTACCTGGCGGCGGCGGCTGCGGCGGCCCAGGGGATGGGCCACCCCGGCCTCAAGCTGGACAAGGCCACGGAGCAGCAGTATCTCCTGGGGGGATTCCAGCTGGACCCGAGCACGGGCCTGGCCGCTCTGCCCCCGGGACTCGGTAAATTGAGATGGCGGTGGCACTGGGCTCTGGGCAGCGCCGCCAAAAGTCCTTGCGAGCGCACGCGTAACGGCAGTAGCGTAACGGCAGTAACTTAATTCCTGCACGGCTGCGCTGTTGAGATACTCTTACATTCACGCGTGTTATTTTACACACACGCACTCGGTATATATTTTTATAATATTCCCTCATAATAGTTACGTACGCGCACGAGCATATAATACAATGAAGCAATGCTTTAGGTTTACGCAGCATGAACAGCGGTACATATACGTAACATACATAACATGGGATGGTAAGGGAAAAGTAATTTTTTAAGTAAACATGCTTTGTGCGTGGGTGTATATGTGCTTTCTTAGTATAATCACTACTTATCCATGCATAGTCAACAATATATTGCATCTTCTTTAAAGTTTCTAAAATGTTTATACGCTGTTTACATATTAATCACAGCTTAAAGTACATATTGATATTGAGCAGTATTTGTAGTTACGTAATCATTGGTATTTGTAATTGAGTCTGAATATTCACAAGTACGTGAAGAAACACATGAACAACAGTCACCTCAAGGTGACTTCCTACGAAAATGAGCATTGGGGCAGTGCTCATCTCGTGTTTACAGCCCTTGGCCAGTTGTGTAAATTCCATGTTCCTAAGGCAGGAGCAAGACTATCATCCATAGGCCAACCACTGTTAGTTAACCTTCCCAGAAAATACGTCATTTTGTCGGCCCATGAAGGATGAATTAATCAACCCTCCAACCAATGTTTTGAACTCCGCAACCTTGCAATCGTGAGCCTACTCGTTCTTCCTCTGAGCCAAAAAAAACGCAATTGTAACACAAGGGAGGCAAACGTCGATAGCTATAGGGGACACAATAAACAGAGCAAGGGCGCCATGGCATTCCGTACATTAGACACATCATCTAAACAAAGGCCAAATATGGCAGCCAGATATATATACATAAGGAACAACAATCAATCTTGATTTTTAAATCGTGCCTTGCGCAATAAAATTGCCTCTAAAGCGCTGCACGGTGAAAAAGATAAATAAAGCAACAATAGCGTATAAACAAATTCAGAAGGATTAATGAACACAAGATGATTACTTCTCGTTTATTAAACTAAACTTAACGATTTAACTAGAGGAACAGAAAATGCCGTTCGTACTCCCTACAGTTGGTGATTCTTCCCCTGCACCTCCCCCCCCTCGCCCCCCCCCCCCCCACCACCGCACGCCCAGTGGGGAGCGACCTCGCCATGGACCCGCGCCTCGCCTCCATGGGCGGCCAGCACCTGGTGGGGGTGGACCCCGAGCTGCTCGGCCTCTCCGCCGGCTCGGCCGAGCCCTCGGCGGCCTCCGCCGACCCGGCGCTGCGGCTCTTCCAGTGCGCCGTGTGCGGCGTCTTCACCACGGACGCGCTGGAGGCGCTGGCGGCGCACGCCGCCGCCGAGCGCTCTCTCCCCGAGGCCGAGTGGAAGGCATCGGGGGCGGACGGCGCGCACACGTGCCGCCTGTGCCAGTACGGCACGCCCCTGCGCGCCAACTTCCAGCTGCACTGCAAGACGGACAAGCACGTGGCGCGCTTCCAGCTGGTGGCGCACATCCGCGAGGGGGGGCGCGCCAGCGAGTGGCGCCTCAAGTGCGCCGCGCTCGGCAGCCCCGTGCAGCTGCGCTGCAACGCCTGCGACTACTTCACCAACAGCCTGGAGAAGATGCAGATGCACGCGGCGAGCCCCCGGCACGAGGCCAGCCTCTGCCTCTACAAGGTGAGCTCCCCCCTGCCTCGCCCCCCGCCACCAACGCCCCACCGCCCCCCCCCCCCCCCCCCGTGTCCCCCGCATCGCCACCGTGTGCCCCCCTCTGTGTACCGGTAGATGCGCTGTGACACTGCGGGATGCCCAACGGGCGGGTGGCTCCCGGTGGTTATTGTTTTGTCACAGATGACAAGAGTTCTCTCATTCAGATGCTGTCGCCTCGACAGACCTGGTTTTCACCTGAGGACGGCTACTTGCGTTGTGGCCGAAACGTCGTGAGAATTATTTTATTATGTTTTATTTTTATTATTTTATTACTTCCCTTCTACGTGACTTTACCGAAAGAACCAAGAAGAAGAGTTCTCTTGTAACGGTAATTGTATTACATCTACTGGCTACTGACTCAGCGCCGAGCCTCCTGTTTGTGTGCTGCTGTGTATTTAAAGCTCCCGTCTGCCACCCTTGTTGACGGGAGAGAAACATCGCCTCGACAATTCCACGTTTTTTTGTGTTGTCGTCCAATTCGTCACCGTGTTGTAGTTGTGCCTCGCGTCTCAACTTCACGTTTTGTTTGCCCAGTTGAGCCGTTGTAGTCCGAGCGCCGTATTGGATTTCCCAAAGTCGGCGGGAGATATGCTCCACGTCAGCGAATGGCTCGAAGAGGTGACACCTGAGAGGTACTAAGAGACCCAGTCCCAATACCTCGCCATATGTGAGTGCCCCCCACTTTCTGAGCAGCGTGGAAGAGTAGGCCAAATGCCCTCTGGTGGGTGGCCCTTCCGTCGGCTGTCACGTGAGCGTTCAATTACAGGGCCGTGCCTTTACCTTGCCTCCTGCCATACCTCTCTCTCTTTCACTACTACACCTTTATGGTAGTGCTTGCTATTATCTGCAGAGTGATTCGCTACATTTAAATAATGACATTAGTCTGTACGTTTTAGCTCCTACAGCGCATAGCTCAGTGGTGTGCAACTGTCAGCTCGATGCATGTGAGAACCCTGTTTTAATTAAGAGTGGCTTCCTGGATTCGAACCCAAGTCCTCAGCAGGTCCCTCTCTTGGTGTTGTGTGAGATGCCACTGAGCTGCTCCTGACATCTACAATGGTCTAAAACATTACAAGGGACATCTTTGTGTCTGTTTAGATCAGTGGCTTTCATCATTGAGATTGGGGGTAGATACCAGTAGAGAACTTTCAAGTTTATCTATAACAATTATCACCAAATGAAGCTAAATTTAAATACTGTAATTGAAGGTCTCACGGCGGAGAAAATGCAGAAATCTTTGTTTAAAAGATCGGATTCAGAAGCTGCAATTATTCAGAAGAACGGCAGTTTTGGCAAACTGGAGGGCTGACGTTTGGGAAGACTCAAATAAGTCCACAAGTTCCAGATTGGGAATCGAAACAAGTGTGTCGGAAGGAAGGTTCTGTGGCACAAACCATCGCTTTACACGATTCATTGTGGCTTCCATTTTCTTTACTGAGAGTTATTTATTGTAGATTATTGCTCATCCGTCAAATTAATGACAAGTTCAACAAAATGTGGCACGAAACCACGAGGGCACTCGCCTTCTCAGCCTCGGCATCTGATGCAGCTGACCCCAGCCATTAGAAAAAAAAACCCAGCAGAGTATGATTCCAAACGTAGCTCAAAAACCACCAAGATTTGGAAAAGTTTCAGGCTGTAGGATAACCCCTGAAGGTGGCCTACTGAAGACCGCAAAGCTGGATTTGCTTCATTGCCCACACTTTTCACAAAATTAAGACGAGGGCCTGCCAAGCTAAGGGGTTCAATTCAGGACCCAAGGTGCCCCACCAAGACACACACACTGTGAGCAGCAGAGTTACTTCCCTGTTTGGATATATATGCTGCACTGTTCAGCAAAGCAATTGTTAGTCACTACAGTGTAAGCTTGAAGTTTCACTTTTGACGATTTACTAACTGCGTACGTATGTTCCGGTTTTTAAACGTGTCTGTGTGTGTGTGTGCGCGCGCTCGCCCATGTGCACGCAATGTGTGCCATTCTGCAACATGTTCCGGTGCGACTTTTTCACACCAATAATAGCAATCGGCTTCCATTTCATGGCTCCTATAAAATGGAGCTCTCAGCTGCTAATGTGTTTTTTTTTCTCTTTCCCTGAAGAAAATTAAATTTTTGTCCTCAACATATCGCAAAGCAATAGGGCGGTGTGCGAAAAGTGGGTGCGGTGCACACCTCGGCAAATTGGAACGCGAGCGCACGCATTCCACCGAGCACGCACTTTGTGCGCGCACGGAGCGGCTTGACACGCGGCGCTTGTGCGCTGTTAGCGCGAGGGTCGAGACGCCGCACTGTTGCCAACACCGGCGCCTCTCTCGTTTCCATTGTAACACTTTTTTTCGTTGGCAGAGAGATAATGCAAATCGTTATTTACTCTGCTTCCACGTGCACCGTGATTAATACAGGAGACGTGCAAACAGCAATGGGCATGTTCTATTGAAAGTTCTAATTAATATTATGCCTCTTAAAAAAAAGTTTTGAGTTGCAGTCACAATTATACAGAGTTTACATGGCGAGGTCAAGTGTTAACACGCGCATAGCTGGTAAGCGAGTGAACCTCATTATGCAGCTGATTTTAAACGTTTTGACCCGTGGCCTGCAAAGCACTACCTCAGTGCAACATCTGCTCTGCAGAGGTATGTGGGTACGGTACCGTTACCAAAATACTGCCCATGTTTCATACATACAGCGGCCAAAGGGCTCGTCAAGTGCTGTCAAATGAGCGGCGTGAAATTATCAATCATCCACTCGTCCAAAATTGGTTGAATTTTTGTACATTCTATAATCATCAGCTGGCTGGATTATAGGAATTGAGGTACTCATAATTCAAGCACTGTGGTCATTTTGAATGTTTCATTTTGCTCGTGTTCAAATACAACGCAATGCCTGTGCCCATAATGTTGTGGTAAGCTAAGAGGACAACTAATGCAATTTGTGTAGTGTGGTGCATGGCAAATATATGCTGGAACATTCTGTGCATGGCTGTAAACAAGATACTTTGGTCAAGGCAAGTTCAATTAAGATCCATATTTGCAATTTTCCTGTAAAATGCTCAGTTATTTTTTCATGAACGCTAAAGGAAAAACCAAGTAATGTAATGCTCAGTAATAGAATCGATTTATCCCATTTCACAGGGAACATTGTGTTTTTAGAGTTTACACTTCAACAGAGGCCCATGAATGCTGATGATTAAACTGCCCATGGCAATTTAACATGGATGCCCGTCATTTCTATAGCAACACATTTGAAATGGTTGCTATGAGCAGAATAACACCTCTGTGACTGCCACAACGTCAATAATTGGTTTAGTTTGCACTCAATTTGCACTAATGAGCTCGGATATTGATAACGCTAGCAGCTGAGAAACCCACAACTGGAAGTGACAGAAAAAAATCCGCTATCGATGACCACGCACCATGCGCTTGTTCGCACGTTCACGCACAAGGCCTTCTCCGATACAGGGAAAATCAAGCCCGCGCGTTTCCAAAAAAAACAACATCAGGCGCATTATTCTAACGACAACATTTTAACCCAATTTGTTCATTTCCAAGCAAGTGCCGGTGACAGCAGACATTTGCAATTAAGTGGCTGCATCTGCCTCTGACGCAGCCTCAGACGCAGCCCAAGAGGCTTTGCTGCAGTGGAATAAGCCATGGCTGGGTCCGTTCTGTGCCAAACATTTAAATCATATTGCTTTTATTGACTGATTTGTGTTGTACTAGGGAAGAGCAACACACTCAAGTCACCTTTCCTGTAGAGAGCACTGCCACCCTTTTTGATGACACCTCCTGTGTCGAAGGCACTCGCTGCTCGTGCGATATCGAACACGCCCGGGCGACCTTCTTGCCGCGCCCTAGGTACCACCACACGGTCTGCGGAACGAACACGAGAGAAGGGCAGCATCGCTCACTAGGAAATCAAGGCCGCATCGTCGTAAGATAAATCTATAAAACTACAGACAAGTTTTATTTTACCAGGTATGTCCCACTGAGCTATGTAGCTCTTTTTCAGAAGCAACCTGGCCACAAATAATAGCTCAACGAAGTGGCTCATCACGTGGACATTTGTAGCAGCCAAATACTCTAAACGTGTGTTTCTGAATATGGAGGGAAAACCGAAGGACCCCGAGAAAAATCCACAAGACCGCGGGTAGAGAAACATGCAAACTTCAAATATATAGGCGTCATGGTTGGGATCAAACCAACGACCTCCTGTATTACAGGCGAGGTAGTTAACATCTCGCCACCGCACGATCGTGCCGAACGATTAGCTGTGCTGAACAACGTGACGTATCTGACTGTTGCGTATCTGCCCTGACCAATTATCCACCACACCTAGTTCTGGGAAAACGATGTCCCACTATGTCCGCCATTTCTGTAATGGCTATACAAAGAAGCCCTTAAGTGTGAGCTGGTGTCCATTTCGTAGGCATTGTTTTATATTTCTTGTAAATGTTTTATATGTTGAAGGCTTCTTGACTACATTGAAAACCATGTTACAATGCACAGTACTATATTCTTCATCGCTTACTTTGCAGCTTTTTTCCCTGTGTTTGAAGAAGTTTTACTTTATTTTTGTCCAGCACCCTATATGCGCGTGGTGTAACTGTAATTTTTTTCCCAAGAGATTTTTCACGTATATATATCCGTACGTACCCAGATCCCCCCACAGCTAGTCGGCTACGTGACGTTGTACTGCACCGTGATTGTGCAGTTCACCTGTCCTCGCGCACGGTTACGGGGAATAAACAGGAACCCCGAGAGGTGACCCCGGAATGTTCCCTATTCAGCCACAGCTCTGTGTCCATTTTCCCTTGGCTGTGCGTGTTCTTTTGTTTTCTACTTGCGTGGGCAATTTTTTTTTCAAATTTAAACTGGCCCTTCCCTTGCCACCAACTCCCACATCTTTTCCTTAAACTCCCCATGGTGACGGTGGTGGGGGGTGGGCTGTTAGGCAACTCAAGTTGACTCAA